ATTGCCAAAATCAATGCAGTTATAGTTGTCAGAATACAATGCTTGCAAGCTATACAGGAAACACAAGATTAATGTCTAAGACTAAGACCAATTGTCCTGTCAACCTTCCATGTTTTTTTTTTCTTCCAAGGGAACATACAGAAAGCACAAAGAGGCCTGAATGCTTCACTGCCTGAGGGAGAGCATCAGTCTCTCAGGAACTGGAAGGTACACTGTGACCCAGGACCCATGAGCTCTAACCTGAAAAACCTATGAACATGCCTCTCAAGGCAGCTAAGCTGGGCCAACTCTATGGTTCCCTGCACTCAGACATGCTGGGGCAGGCTCTGGTGATGCCTCTTCATTTGAATCACCAATGATTATAAGAAATAAGCAAAGCTTCACTCATGCTGTTGTGAGTAACCCCCAATAAATTCATTGGTTCACCAAGCAAAAACTGAGGGAAATCATCTTGTTGGTCTAATGTCCATGACCCGAGCCCAGTGCACACCAAGAGTCTCTTTTCATCCCCCCATATAAGTGAAGTGTATCTGCAACATTACGATCCATATGATAAGAAAATATTGACCAGAAGTTGATGAATATATGTAGCAATAAGTATTATAAATCCTGGTGTGGGGTTCTGCCCAACTATTGGCTGTCGGCATCTTTATTCACCAATCAGAATTATCTTGGGTCCCAGGGACTAAGTAAGTTCTGGACTCCAGGTCTTGAGTCCAGCACTTAGCATTACAATAGACAATAAAAGACAAACCCTCAACAGATATATAACAAAAACCCCTTGAGTAACTTTATAACATTTAAATAGTGAAAGTATAAACACAAAATAAGAACAAATAAAGATACTGCAGAATACCCACGAAGCCCGTTCTGTAGCAGTGTGTTTACACTATTCTGAAAGGAGAACGGACGTGATCCAAGTTTGATGTGTGCACGTTGGAAAGGTTACATTGGAGTATACGTTGTTCAGCTGGTATGCATGGTTTGCTTTGGCAGCACATATACTAAAATTGGACTTGTGCAGAGATTAGCATGAATCAAAAACTAGAAATAGATCTGTCTTAGTTGCCATTCTATCACTGTGGTGAAACATCATGACCAAGGCAACTCGTTAAAGGAAGCTTTCAATCAGAGGCTTGCAAATGGTTTCAGAGTGTTCATGGAGACAGGTAGGCAGGCATGGTGCTGGAACAGTAGCTGAGAGTTCACTTCTGATCCACAAGAGGCAGAGGGACAGAGAAAAGGAGGTGAGCAAGACTGGGCCAGTGGGCCAGCCTGGTGTGTGTGACCCCCCAGTGACATATCTCCTCCAGCAAGACCACGCCTCCTAATCCTATCTAAACAGTTCCACTCCCTGGAACCAGGCATTTAAACATATGGACCTATGGAGGCCATTCTCACTCAAACTACTACAAAATCCAGAGAGGGAGAAATGTGACCAGAGTATAAGTAATCCAAAATAGTAAGGATTTTTTAAATTATAGAGTGACATAATATACATATTATTTTGTTACAAATTGTATTGGTTTCCTGGTTTTCAAATAAAAAACATACTATTTAAAGGAGGTGAGGAGGGGAACAGGGATGGGGATTGGATGCAAGGAGAGGGGATTGGGAGAGGGCTGGTAGAGAGTGTGGAATCGGTGGGGGACATCTCTGGGACTAGCCAGAGACCTGGATTGGGGGGAGGCTCCCTGGAGTCTATGGTGGTGACCCTAGCAGAGACTCCTAGCAGTGGGGGATATGGAGACTGAAGTGGCCACTTCCTGTAGCTAAGCAGGACTTCCAGTGAAGGGAGGGGGACATCAACCTACCCACCCAATTTTCCACTCAAAATTTGTCCTACCTACAAGATGCATAGGTATAAAGATGGAGCAGAGATTGAGGGAATGGTTCAACTTGAGACCCATCCCATGAGAGAGAGCCAACCCCTGACACTATTAATGATACTCTGCTATGCTTCCAGACAGGAACCTAGCACAACTGACTCCCAAGGGCTTCATCCAGCAGCAGATAGAAACAGATGCAGAGACTCATAGCCAAACTTTAAATGGAGCTCTGGGGAGTCTTGTGGAGGAGTTGGGGGAGGACTGAGGAAGCTGGAGGGGTCAAGAACACCACAAGAAGACTGCAGAGTCAACTAAGCTGAGCCCATAGGGGCTCATAGAGACTGAACCACCAACCAAGAGCATGCAGGGGCTAAGTCTAACCCCTCCCCCCCATTTGTAGCAGATGTGCAGCTTGGTCTTCATGTGGATACCCTAGCAATTGGAGTGAGGGCTGTCTCTAACACTATTGCCTGTCATTGGATCCCCTTCCCCTAGCTGGTTGGGTCTGCCTTGTTTGGCCTCAGTGGGAGAAGAGAGGCTTAGACCTGTTGCCTCTTGATCTTCCAGGGTGGGCAGGGGCTTCCCCTTCTCTGAGGAGGAGAAGGGGAGGGGTGATGGGTAAGGGATTTGTGAGGGTGAGACTGGCAGTAGAGGAAGGAGGGCTGCAACCCAGATGTAAAGTGAATAAAGAAATTAATTAATGGAAAAAAATAGAGTGCTAAAGAAACTATGGAGTGGTCCAGATGTGCTGATACACACCTTTAATGCCAGCTCTGAGGGGGTAGGGGACTCCCTGTGAGTTCCAAGCCAATCGGGGCTATGTAGTGAGACAGTGTCTCAGAATAAATTAAATAGTGTAGAGGCACAAGTTCACACATGTTATGTCTGCTTATACAGATAAGAATTACTAGTATTTTTTTTTTAGTTACTAGGAATTTAACAGAGTACTCAGTGTGAAGGCAAGGAAAGCCATGGGAGCCTATGGGGTAAGAAGTGAAAACAGTAACCCAGAGCACAGAGACATTTATTTTCCCAAAGCAAAGTGGAGACGGGGGACTTAGGGTCAGGGAATGGGTAGGATTAAATAATTTTATGTTTTCTTTTTAAATATGAGGGTTTGAGAGTGTCACAATTAAAAGAAACTGACGTGAATTTTTCATACTGTTGAGTAGAAGGGGGATGTTAATGATGTATTCCCTAACTAGTGCCTTTCTGGCAAGCTACACTCAATGAAACCCATGATTCCTAGGCAAAATTTACTATCTGATAGTAAATTATCTTCTTCCCCCTTCTGCTATAACAGTGTGTGCCTGATGGCTGATGTCTCTTTGACCTTTGAAGAAAGGCTCTAGCAATTCTATCTGCCCTCACAGAGGCCCTGGGCTATCTGGCAATACCCAGGTGTTCACCAGCCTATAGCCTGAGTAGAACAGAGCTAGTCCTTTGATGTTCGTGATGGCAGTTGGCAGCAGGGCTTCACACAGTGTACCTGCGCATCCAGGCAGCACCACCTCAGTCCAAATCTACCACGCAGGGAAGCAGGTATCAGTTGAAAATGTCTCAAAGTCACTAAAATCCCTGCTTTCAGTGTTCCCTAAAGGGCTTCTATTTCTCCTCATAAATTGTATATTATTATACAATATATATATAAATATATTATTGCCAGGTAAACTGTGCTTCAAAAAAACCAAGAGATTGCAGATGCGAGACAACAGTTAGTAAATTCTGAACTCCTGATCAAAGATGGTAAAAACCCAAGCCAGATTGCCCTGAGTGGATGCAAGAGTTATCAACAAGTAGCACCCCCAAGGGCCAGCACAGAGGTTACCCTTGAGCTTCCAGAATGTTGGAAAAGTGGGGGCCCAGGTGCCTCTGTTTCAGTAACTTAGAGGAGGGCAGACCTGAACCTGGGCTTAGAGACAGACACATCCCATCCTCGAGCATTCCTTCCCCTCACTTGTCCTCTTCTAGAATATGTGCGTCCTCTTTCAGGACCTCAAGTCATATTCCCACGTTCATCCAGCATCCTGACAATGACATTTTCAAAGTCTCAACAATCAGGATGAACCTGCAGAGATAACATAACTACATGTTCCATCCATTGAAACCCCCAAACAGGAGGAGTACCCTAGGAAGCGTTGGCAGAAAAAGAACTCCCATTTTAGCGATAGAAAGTTCACAGCCTGTAATGAGTCCATCTGGAAGGCTATGAAGATCATGGGGCTGGAGAGACAGCAGAACAGTTGAGCATGAGTTCATTCCCCAGCATCCACCTCAGATTGTTCACAACCCCATGTAACTCCAATTCCAGGGGAACTGTTGCCCTCTACTGGCCGCTTCAGGCACCTACACTCATGTGCACATTCCTGTACAAAGGCACATACACTTTTTTTAAAAAATTTAAAGTTATAAAGATCACTATCAAGGATATAGACATACTTCATAGTTTCTAAAGTTGGGGTCTCTGTCTTCTGTAAATCATCCCTGGGCCCCTCAGACTACTCTGGTATCCACTATGTTTGTCTCATCAGAACCTAGTAGGTAAGACATTTACTCAGTCAGAAACATTGTGTGCCTCTGTGTGCTTATAACATCTTAATTCTTCCTGTGTAACTTTATAGCTGGGAAGTGTGAACAATTTGTGTTCACTGAGATTTTTAGTATAGAAGTTAGTTGACCTCATTCGGTTATTCAAATGATAGTTGCAACTCTCCCCCCCACCACACATGCACACATACATCTCACTAGCCTATGTATAGTTTTGAATCCGAATGTCTATTCCCCAGAACACTGACAGATCAGCATAATGTCACAACAAGGACTCCTCTTTCCACTACCAGAGAATGAGGGGAATACTTTCCCTCTGTAAGTGGGGCCTTAACTGGCATAGCTCCAGAAACCATGAGAAGACACAGATTGCTAGCTGCATGTCTCCCCACCTTCTCAGCATTGCTGCTTCCCTCCCTGCTCTGTGTTTACCATCTGAGCCTACACCCAGCCAGCATGTCATAAATGTGCTTAAAGCGAGTGATGGTCATGTCCGCTGCATGCTGCCTCCTGGTTCAAAGCCTCATTGGAACACAGAAATGTTCTTGCTACTGAAAGGTTCAATAACCATGAGGCAACTTGCCACTCCTGGGCCAAAATCACAGAGAGGCTCTCCTCATTCCACCCTCTGGTTCTCATTCGCCTCCCTCCTCTGCTATGTGGGTCCTGCTCTCAATCCTGGGGGTCCTCACCTTGTTATCCATAGTTCCTCTGGGTAAGACAAAAGCTTTTCATTCCAGGGGTATGAAAATAGAGATGGAGGAGATACAAGGTATGTGAGAAATTTGAGGAGTTGAGAAAAGGAAGCTGGAGAAGAAGGTGGGAGAGGGGAGATGAGGCTCATCCTGCACCATTGTCCCGGGGTCACAGGATGCTGCCAGCAGCAGGCGAAGGCTTGTCTTATGTGTTTCTTTAAAGTTGGTTGAATTCTCATGGTTTTACTTAATCTGTGTAGGAATTAGATAAGGTAGGAATGGAGGCTCCACCTGAGTTCATTTTAATGTTTATTAGCACTTATTAATTACACATAGTAATGGGGTTCATTGTGACACTTTCATACATGTACGTGACGTAGTTTGGTTATATTCAATCCTTCATCTTGTCTACATCTCAAAGCCCCTTTCCTCTTGCCAGCCAGCCTCCGACCTCTGCCTGCATGGGTTGTTTTGTTTTGTTTGGGGTGATTGTTTTGGTTTGTTAGTTTGTTTGATATGGTGGATTCCCTTGGCTTTGGGTTTTTTGTTTTCGATAACAATATAATTACATCATTTCCCCTTCCCCTTTCTCCCTCAAACCTCCCATACACTCCGCCTTGCTCTCTTTCACATTCACAGCTCCTTTTTAAAAATTAATTGTTGTTGCACATGTATTAGGAATGTACAAATATATATATATATATATATATATATATATATATATATATATATATATGTAAATATACCCTGTTCAGTCTGTATAAGGTTACCAGTATGTCTGCTGTCAGGGCTGACCATTGAGTACTGGATAACCAGCCATGTGCTCTTCCCCGGGGAAGGCTGTTTCTCCCACTCTCAGCACTCCTTGGTTGCCTGTAGTTCTGTGTATAGAGGTCTCTCATGGGCTTTCTTCCCTACACAGTAGCATGTCTGTTACTGTTGTCCTCGTTCAGCTCATGTTTAGGCAGTCATGTTAGTGAGACTTTGTAGGGATAGCATCTGACATTACTATTCAATTTCATAGCAAAATCCCTGTTCCTCTGGCTTTAGAATCTTTCCATCCTGTCTTCCATTATGTTTCCTGAGCCTTAGGTGCAGGAGTGTTTTGTAGATTTATTCCTTGGGACTAGGATCCACAACTCTGCGTTCTGATTGGCTGTGGTTCTCTATAGTGATCTCTGTTTATGTCTTTTTGTTTTTTATTTTTTGGCCTTTCTTTCTTTCTTTCTTTCTTTCTTTCTTTCTTCCTTCCTTCCTTCCTTCCTTTCTTTCTTTCTTTCTATCTTTCCTTCCTTCCTTCCTTCTTTCTATCTTTCTTTCTCTCTCTCTCTTTCTTTCTTTCTTTTCTTTCTTCTTTCCTGTGTGTGTGTGTGTGTGTGTGTGTGTGCCTGTGTGTGTGTTCCAATGAGTCCCGTTAGAGTTGTTTATAGAAGCATGTGAAGCATGTGTCAGAGTTCGCTTGCATGAACACGGGGAAATTACCAGTGGTTATACCAATGAAGCAAATGGTTCTCCCTTCCCCATCAACTAGTAGCTGAGTATAAATACTCAGGAAGGAGTGTGACGCAGTAGCCCTGCTCTCTCATGACAGGATACTGATGGGCCCCATAGGAATCATGCAGGTTGGGCCCTGGGCAGGAGGGGGGCCTATTGATGCAGGTGTCTCTTTTACACATGGATATTCCACTGTCATTTTCCCTCTGCACTGTGACCATCTTTGCAGTCACTGACGTCAGCCCAGGGCAGAGAGGAGCTTCTCTGCCAGACTCTGACAGCAGTGCTGATCTATGGGCCTAAGCAGCTACCTAGAGGGTATTGATGAGTCTGTCATGACCATTAGCAAAACAGCAGCAGCCTTCCGCTAGGGCCAACAACTTCCCCAGCCGCTGGCTTTGGACCAGATTTGCAGCACCATATGTGTTCACAGGACCAATCTTCCTGTGAATCAGGATCAAATCCCATTTGAAAGTGGTTGTTTATTTGTGTGGAAGACTTGCTTCTATTGCACCAGGGGGCTTAGTCTGTACTGTCGTACACAGAGCTTATGGCTGAGTGAGACTGTTGGTGACAACCCTCCCTGAAAGCCTGCACTATGAGGGTGAGCCAGCAGGAGGAAGTGTCATCACTGTTCCAGCCTGATGTTCCTGTGATGAAGGCTCATGGCATTGTCAGAGTCTTACCACTGAGCTCTGGTGGACAATCACCAACAGTCTTACCTTAGTTATTAGCCAAATGCTAAATAATCAATTTAATATTCCAGATTTAAGTTTAAAAATCTACCAGTATTATATAACAAATACCTATACCTGGAATTTCATTATTGCCTGTTGATTTGCCTTTTTGAATGCACACTAGCTGCAATTAAAGATTTCCCTGACCATTGGTATTGCTTTATATTTTTAATGAGTGATAATTTACTCTTTCCAAGTTTGTCCTTAAATAATTTGTGCGTTTGTAAGTTATGAAGCCATTGCCCCCTCTACATTCCACAGACATTCACTTCCTTCTCCCTCTCCTGATGCCCTGGAAGTCTTTCCCACTCTAAACCTTGAATATAGACACAGCAATACAGCCTACAACCCTCTGGTGTGGCTTCTTCCACTCAGAACAATGTTTCCAAGTTCATCTCTGCCTCCGTTCATCATTCCTTCTGTTACTGAAAACTGTTACACTGAAATGAAGAGATTGCTCAGTGGTTGAGAGTGCTTGTGTGACTCCAGGTGTCTACACAATGTCTCACAGCCCTCTGTCACTTCTGTATCACATGTAGCACACACTAAGTGATGACAGATGGAGAGAAAGGTATTCTTCTCTGTGTCAGCAAGGAAGGTCCCCAAACTAATCCCTGGGGGAGTTGGAGACAATGCTGCTGGCTTAGCCTGGTCATATTTATGTGTAGGGCATCTTGAAGAACAGACGGACAAAGCAGGGCCGTAGCAGCAAGGATAAATGAATGCATGCCCCCTGTGCATGTGTCACATACTTTGGTCATTCTGCTCCAGGCTTCATGTAAATGGAACTGTGTTTATGTGGCTTGTTGTATTTGCAAAATTTTACTTCACATTACATTCATGAAATATGTCTGTGTAGTCTCTACGAAGCTGTCCACAGCTATGCTTCATTTAGTTGTAATACTATACAGTATTCCATTTTATGTCCCAGGATTCTTGGGATTCAACATGAACAAATGAATAAATACGTGTGGTAAGCCACATTAGCAAAATGAAGGACAAAAATCCTCATTGATAGATGGAGAAAAGGCATTTGACAAAATTCAGTATCCTTTTTACAGTAAAATTTCTCAGCAGATTGTGTGTAAAGAGAATACACTACAGCACAGTAAAGCCCGCATACCGCAAGCCCATAATACTCAACATGAAAACTTGAAGACTTCTAAAATCAGAGACAGAGATACCTATTCACAGTTTGTGTTAACCCAGGACTAAAAATCCTAGCCAGGGCAAGTAGAAAAGCAAAGAGAGTAACAGCCATTTAAACTAAGAAGAGGTCTAGCTGCCTGTTGCCCCAGGGCCCCATCCAGGCATGGCATCCTCCCCTTCCCGAATCTCCCTCCTGAGCTCTTCCTCCCGATTCACTTCTTTGACAGTCTCCACCCTGCTTAGATGTTTTCGTTTATTCTAGATTCTACATATGGCAGAGAACATGCAAGGCTGGGCATGGTGACACACCTGTCATCTCAGCACTTCGGAGGCTGAGCCAGGAGATTGGCATGAGTTCAGAAATAACCTGGGGTACATGATAAGTACCTGGTCATTCAGGCCTACGTAGTGAGATTCTGCTTCAAACTCCAAAGAAGGAAAAAAGGGGAAGCATTCAATGCTTTCTTTCTGGTCCAGATGCTTTTGCTTAACATGATCTTTTCACTTAATTTCCTGCAAGCGACATCTTCCCGTCCTTCTTCATACCCTGATCCATTTCTTTAACCGCTCATCTGTGGACGAGCACATAGACTGATCCCACAAGGTAGCTGCTGTGAGTGCACTTGAAATAATTTTGCTTCAAAAATTAACCTCGGGCTGGAGAGATGGCTCAGCAGTTAAGAGCACCAACTGCTCTTCCAGAGGTCCTGAGTTCAATTCCCAGCATCCACATGGTGGTTCACAACCATTTGTAATGGGATCTTTTGCCCTTTTCTGGTGTGTTTGATGGCAGCTACGGTGTACTCATGTAAATAAAATAAATCTTAAAGTTTTTTAAAAAATGAATTAACCTGCTTTTTTTCCACCATGGGTAGAAATGTAGAATAAATAATGCTGTCCCTTCTCGGTAGCTGCCTCACTTAAACCTACTCTTTCCAGAGGAAATTGTCGTTTGTCTGTGTTCATCCTTGTGTTTTCTCTCACATTCATTTCTAATGTTGTCTTTCTTACATTCTGAAAATGTTCCCTATTCTTTTCTTAAATCGTGAACTATTTTAAACAACAAAAATAATAAGTAAAGGAGGCCAGAGAGATAGCTCAATGGTTAGGTGCCCTAGCTGCTCTTGCACAGAACCTGACTTCAATTCTCAGAACCTACATGTCAGATCACAATCTGTAACTGCAGCTCCAGGGGATCTGACGCTTTCTTCTGACCTCTGTGGGCACCAGGCATGCACATGGTAAACATGCATGCAGGCAAAACATCCATACATGTCAAGTAAAGTTTTTAAAATTAAATTAAAACTAAAAAAAAAAAGGTCTGGAGAGGTGGCTCAGCACTTAAGACACTGTTTTTGCAAAGATTCTGAGTCTGAGTCACAGCACCCATGTCAAGTGGCTCACAAGCATCTGTAACTCTAGCTCCAGGGGATCCAACATCCTCTTCTGGACTTCATGGACATCCACACAAATGTGGCAGACAGATAGACACACACACACACACACACACACACACACAATTTTTTTCATTAATTAATGTATTCACTTTCTATCCTGAGGGCAGCCCCCCTCCTCTTCTCCTAGTCTCATCCTCACAGGCTCCTCCATGCGTCACAGGCTCCTCCCCGCGTCACAGGCTCCTCCCCGCATCACAGGCTCCTCCCCACATCACAGGCTCCTCCTCACATCACAGGCTCCTCCCCGCATTGCCTCCTCCCCTTCTCCTCAGAAAAAGGGAGGCCTCCCATGGGTGCCAGCCTGCCCTAAGACATCAAGTCACAGCAGGACTAAGTGCATCCTCTCCCACTCAAGCCAGACAAGGCAGCCCAGCTAGGGGAAGGAGATCCAAAGGCAGGCAGCAGACGCAGAGACAGCCTTTGCTCCAGCTGTTAGGGGACTCACATGAAGACCAAGCTGCCATATCCAAATTTTTAAAGTAGTAAAAACTAATCCTTTAAAAAATAATAACCAACCTCCACCCCCACAAACAAACAAACGGGAAACGATAGCAAATAAGCAATACAGTGAAATGTATTTGTCTACTCTTTTCAAAGCCAGAAGTTTCCTTGAGAATCAGGACTGTTCTTCAGAGTTCCGCCACTGCAGGATGAAGTGCGATGCTAACGAATACGCCGTCAGATACTGTGAGGACTGGACCATCTGCTGTCGGGTGAAGAAGAAGGAAGCCAAGAAGAGGAAGATGTGGTGACACGACTCCAGGGAAAGGCTCTGAAAGTATATACAAGTTCCGTGTCCACCTACTAATAAATGGTATGATGAGTAAAGGGGATTTCATGACAATTTCATGCTTGCATGGTCACATGCACATAAATACATGTCTTATCACATCGTGAGTCTGTTTTCATGTGTATAACTTTCAGCACATTGTGTTTTCAACTAAAAACTCCATATATACAAGTTTGGCCTTGGGAATGCTAAATCAAATTAGTGGGTTGTTAAGAGGAGGAGAAACAAAAGAATATTGGGAGGAAGAAGGGCTCAGCAAGAGGGGGATGAGAAGATAAAGGAGAAGGGTGAATCTGACCAACATGTAATATACACATGCATGAAATTGTTAACGAATACATTTTAAAATATTTTAAAATTTAAAAGAAAAAAATACAGTCTTGGGTAAATTATTCACCATTTAGATGTTCTTGTCTGTCAGATGAGATAAGAACACACCTGTAACGAGATGTCATGATGATTACATAAATTAGAATGTGTTACCTGATCTTTCTACACTTGTATAGGACCTTCTTGCTCTGAAGGTTTCTGTTAAGGAGTCCCGTGTTATCTAATACCTTAGTAAGAGTAGGAACCTCTCTCTCGTTCAGTTTTCAACCTGTTAACTATAATATATCATAGAGAATTTCTTTTCTAGCCTTTTCTACTTGGTGTTCTACAGGCCTCTACCTGGATAAGCATCTCAGTATGGATTTGGGAAATTTTTTTCTATGGTGTCACTGAAGATATTTTCTGTGCCTTTATTGTGGTATTCTTCTTCTCCTATGCTCACAATTTGGAAGCTAGGTCTTTTCATGATGTCCCAGAATTTTCTCAATCTGTCTTCTCTCTTGCACTGACCAAGTGAGTGATCTGACACCTCACTTTGTTTTAAATCTCTGAATCTGACACAATCCATTCCACTGCTGGGGTATTCTGCTGTTGTTTTCCAGTTCCAACATCAATTCCATTTGGATTTTTTTCATTTCATCCATCTCCTTGGTTTTTATCTTCTTTTAATTGGAAATTTTAAAAACTCTTTGCCTGGATGTTCTGGGTCATTTTCATTAGGGCACATCACTATGAGGTTTGTGTTTTTCTGGAAGTAATAAATTCTGTGTGTGGTATGTATGTGTGGTGTGTATGTATATGGTGTGTGGGGTGTGTGCTTGTGCAGTGTGTGTGTTGTGTATGTGTGTGGTGTGTGTGTGTATGTGTGGTGTGTGGGGGCGTATGTGTGTGTGGGGTGTGTGTGGGGTGTTTTTATTTCTGCATTGGGATTTGTGCATCTATAATTAGTTTGTTGGTTCAGTTTTTCTTTATTTTGTTCCAATCACCTTTCTTCTTACAGCAGAAGTGTTTGTAATGTTCAGGGTAAGATGATGATTTCTGTGCTTATCTGGTATTGGAGATACAGCTTCTCTCCCAGCTCTTGTTTCTCTGTCACCACTTTAGCCATTCAGTCAAGGAGCCTGGAACAAGTTTGCCCTGACAGTGTGACCTGATCCTGGGTCTCAACACCAGAGAGACCAACTATGGTGTCACAGTCAGGTAGCCGTCAGGGCTCTGGGACTCTGAGCTATGTGTGGTGGCTACTGAGTCTCTGGCAGCAAACAGGCTGGGATCAGTCATAATAGAACTTGAGCCATTAAAGAATACAAGTATCAGCTGGAAATGGTGAAGCATGCTTCTAATCCCAGCACTCAGGAAGCAGAGCTAGAAGGATCTCTGTGAATTTGAGGCCAGCCTAGTCTACATAGCAAGTTCCAAGCCAGCCAAGGCTAGACAGTGACACAAAGAGAAGAAAGAGGGGGAGGGGGGAAGGAAGAAGAGGGAGGGGGGGAAAAGGAGAAGGAGGAGGAAGTAGAGAAAGAGGAGGAAAAGGAGAAAAGGGAAGAAGAGGGGGAGAGAAAGAAGAGGAGGAAGGGGAAAAGGAGAAGAAGGAAGAGGGAGGAAGAGTAGGAGGAAGAGAAGGAAGAAAAAGAGGAGACGGAACAATGACCTATTTGGAGCTATAGAACACTTTGGTAACATGAACCTTCTAACAGTATTAATTCTGTGGCTCCTTCTTTTCTTCTGATGCGTCCTTAAATTTATTTTTCAATTTGTATAGCATGGTGTATCCCGAGACAAGTTCAGGGCGTCGTGTACCCCGAGACAAGCTCAAGGCGTCGTGTACCCCGAGACAAGCTCAGGGCGTCGTGTACCCCGAGACAAGCTCAGGGCGTCGTGTACCCCGAGACAAACTCAGAGCCCTCAGGCTTTGCAGCTGTGAACCGCAGATAGGTTGGTTCAGAATTTTAACTACATACTGACCTCAGGTTGCAACTCCAGGGTAATTCTCAGTTGATGAGACCTTTTCCTGGCCACTCTGGGCAGAGCTGTCTCTCCTAGACTAAGCCAGGCATCTGTCTCTTGCAGCCCTCTTGCTCACCACAGCTGCTTCCCTGGACTGGCCTTCTCCCAGAAGTATGTCCCGCTGAATCAAGTCTCCTGAGTCCTCCATCAGGTCCTGTTGTTACTGTACAGCTATCTCATAAGGTGTCTACCCCTTAGCTTTTCTGTCCACTGCTGACCCATCTACCAGATGAGTTGTTGTCTCACCAAAACCCGGAATTGGATCCGAGGCTTTCGAGGCTGTGGCTAATGAGGACAGAACTACATGGCTTTCAATTGGCTCTACCCTTTGGAAGTGGTCCCCTCCCGCTGCCAGACAGCTACCTGGCTGAAGCTGTTTGGCTTGCATCTCTGTGTCCTGCATTATTTTCTCTGCTCATTTCCAGGCCCTGCCACCCCTTTCCTGGCTGCCAGAAGCACTTCCTCAGTCTTGGTCTTTGTAACGCGGGCTTTTGTCTCATTCTGTCCCTCCCCTTCACACAAAGACAGCCTCTAGGTCACCATCTTATCCAAAAGTTCATTTTCATTAATGGTTCTCCACAGTTTCATTGTGAATGTAGACTGCTTTTATCCATTCATCGGTTGGTGAGCAACGAGGGAGGTCTGTGGGTCAGCGTTGTGGCTTTTGTGGATGGTTCTGCAAGAAGACAAGGATGTGTCCTATCCGTGTGTGTTGCTGACATAGATTCCTTCAGGCACAGACCCAGGAGGAAGCCAGCAGAATCTCACGGTCATTCCACATATAGTGTGTTTCCCAACCTCTGGCCCGGTTTCCATAGCGGCTGCATGAGTTTACTCTCACTAGCAGTGTATAAAAGTTTCCTTCTTTTACAACTTTGCCAGCATTTGTTGTTTGATTTCCTTCTTTATCATTTAAAAAGAATCTTTTTTTTTCATTAAACTGACATAGTATCATGCATTTTTTATAAAAAAATAAAAATCTTGGAAGGATTGTCGTCAAAATGTTATTAAGGTCTCTTGATTTCTATTTTTCTGAATCCTCTAATTTTCACAAATATTTTTTATAATAAATGTTTTTTAAGTCTCAAGAAAATTCTTTCCACATTCTTCTTTTTCCGTATCTTTTATCAGTTCACAGCTATCAGTTAGAATTGTGGCCAACTGCTAACACATGCCCTGGGTTTTTCCTCAAACCAGCACAGAGTCATCTTTGTTAGAGGTGATTCCAATTAACCAGAGTTAAAGAGTGACCTCTGGTAAGTGCCAATTTCAAATGAAATCTCTGCATACAAAACTGTCTATAACTAAGTTTTACGTTAGAAAGTTGACACTGTGTGCTTAGACAAGCCACACTTCTTACCTTCCAATTCCTGGATTATAAGAATTATCCAAGTCATTCTTAAATGACTTAAAATGTTGTCACTATTTCTATATCCAGTGAAAATTCGGCTTTTAGTTACTGTGGAATTTGACAATTCTGGTAAAGGCAAAGCTGACTTTCTTGATTTAAATAAGAAGCAAACTATGTAAGACTGTAAACATTTAACCAGGTGAAAATAAGAATATGCTCCAGTTAGTAATGTGCTATCTAAAAATTCCAGTTTCTGTCTCATAAATAAAAAAATAAATAAATAAATAGTTCTTCTCAGTCACAATACACCTGAATTTGCTATTCACAGTTTAATCAGCCTTCAAACTCTAAGCAATAACCAGTCAGTTTGAAGACGAAGTCCACAACCGCTTCAGAACGGAGTCCAAACCCTCGAACTCTTTACACGCTCCAACATACCACCTGTGATTAGGCTCAATTTGGCAATTATTCAATTGGGGAGAATACCAAGAAAAAACAATTTAAATAAAATCCACCTTACTGGGTGTGAAGAAAAGCAGCTCTGTGGAAGCTAGGAGGGCCTCTGATGATGCATAGTTTGTGATGACCCTGACAAGAATTACAGAATGAGCAGTAAGCTTCACATTGTCCAGACTGCATTAGCAATCATGTGAGAAAGTTCTGGAATGTTTACATTTAAGTCTAAAACCCTAGGTACTTGCTTAAACAATTCTTCCTAAAACTACAACAGACCTATGTCATGAACTCTGTGTGTGTGTGTGTGTGTGTGTGTGTGTGTGTGTGTGTGTTGTGTAAGTGTTAATTAATGGAAGTAAGAATGTATGAAAACTCAACCCTTTAGGATACTGGCTGTATTCCAATGGATAACCGACTTTAATCTTTTTACTTCAATTACCCTTTTTAATTCACTAAAGTTGTACAAACCCCAAAAGGTCTATTAAGAACATGTATCATGTTAATGAAAAGCATTACATTTTCTTAAATTAACTCCTCAGGGGTGGGGGGGGGGAATAAGAACCAATGGTACAGGACCACAACATGGGACACCAGAAATGGGGGCTCTCTAAAGATGTTTACATGTGCTGTAGCTTCACACAAAATTATGACAATAACTAAGACTTTTAAAAATTATGCAAAAAAAACCCTTAAACACAAAGTAGTATCATGGGACCAAAATTCATTTTAATAATTTTTATTATAAGTATATTTTAAAATCATAAATGGGGTTTGTAACCCCAAGCCAAACACATAATCTTCCCCTCATAGTCTGGCAAGCCATTCCAGACCATACTTTTCAAACCCTGTCTTCTTTGCTGCTTTTCAGGCTTCTGAGGCCCCAAACTGTGTTTGACTCTTGCTGGAAAGTACTTTCTGAAAAACTGTCCATCGAACACAAAGAATGGTTTGCATT